TATGCAAGTGATGCTTTACACTACACGCATGCAAAAAAAAAAACAAGACCAGTTTGTAAGCACTCGCAGCCTCTACCTCACAATGGCTCACACCAACAAAATTTACAAGTTCATAAAAATTTAAAAAAGAACAAGAGACAAAAATAAACCACCGAGCCAAATGCGAAGCGACACTTTTTCACAAGACACCACCACCCTACTCGACAGTACCACGTTTTCCACTAGATCAGTAAATACTACTACCGATTCTCTCTCGTCTAGGCTTACACAAACAACCAAAAACTCACGCATATCCAAACAAACAGTACACACACCAGACCATACACCTGCAGACAAATCCGCACCAACAAGCCACATCCCATATACCTATTGCGTAAACGCACCACACACAAAGGACATTATGCCTACGCACGGATCTTATGCACAACTCTCTTGCACCGCCAACACGATCACACACGGGACCCCAACAACAATCTGGACAACGATCCACTCACTCCAAACATCAACAACCACCACAATGACATATCCCCCAATAGCCCATACCACCACCTGATAACACCATACCGTCACACAACATACCCTAACGCACCTCGAACGTCGACCACTGCCACCACCTAATTATGACCCCATAATCCCTTTATTTTTTACCACCAGCGCACAAACTCTGCGCTCCAACTCTACCCCTGCATACAATCACCTCCTTCCCCTAAACCACTTACTGATACCCATGGCTCCCTATTGCATTACCCTCCCACCTCCATCATACCCCCTCCACCTCCCTCCACCTCCCTCCACCACCCCCATGGCTACCTCTCACCGACTACTACACTCGTCCCCCTATCTCCTCCATCCCACCAATGCAACACCATGGGGATCCTCGGAGCTTGATACAATCCAGCTTGATAGCCTCGATCTCTCCCTCTCAATCATTCTACCTCCCTCCTCTTCGTTGTGGTGCATTTGTGTGGCTTACCAACCACCCTAGCCCACTGTTCGTAAAGACGGTTGCGCTCTGCATTGGAATGCCATAGCCTGACGCTTCTTATGCCTCACTGGCTAGGGCGTCCCTCTGATCGGCAGCGTGAATCCACCAACTGGTGTATGACCCCTGCGATCACAAGCGGCAACAACAAGGTTTGCTACGATGGCACAGATAAGGGACAACCTCCCCGGCGTTAACATCATGGAACAAAAGGTATGTTAAGCCCCATGTACAACTATGTCGTGCTTCTACTCAACCTCCTCCTTCACCCTCCAACCGGGAGCCAGAGGGCTATCACCCTCTGATGAGCCTTGACCGGCGCAAGCGGCGAAAAGCGCTTCAGGGGATGCGCCACCCCTCCTCCACCAACAATCCTACTGGTGTTGATAGCATTGTCCATCATGGTCCCTACTTCTTTTTCCTGCTCTCTCTCTTCTTCCTCCTATTGCTTTACCCAATCTTTCTTTCTCTCTCACCTACCCTAGTTATGGATGCTATGTTGCCGATACATGCAAGGAATGATGATTGCGAGACTGTGATGTCGAGGTATGTACCCCAAATGCGCTTAAGACTAATCGTAGATCTATGGCCAATGGAGATTCGCGTAATTCACGTAATTAGGTTGCTATGGTTGCATGTTGCATTGCTACACACACAAACATACACACTTCCACACACACACGTGATACACACACACATACACACACACATACACACACGCATACACACACACATACACACACACACACACACAAACATACACACACATATAGACATACAAACATACACAATACACATTTCGTAAAAAATAAACTTTTTGTCAAAAAGTGAACTATTTCGAGTGTGAATAAACACTCAGTACATGGCCCAATAGGGCATCACGCGACACTTTAAATGGTCAGTATATGAGGTGTTGACATGGCAAATGTTGCGGCGGGGCGTTTTGAGCTCTTTATACATGAATAGTCGTTATAAAATGCGAATTAACACATTGTAAAAAAGGGCAGGGACTCTTTGTATGACACCTTGACAATGTTGTCCTGGCTTAGTGTTGCTGTGACAGACAGTATACAATTCAAAAGGGCATTGTGTTGGGTATGAGGTGCCTGTTTTCCATAAAAGGTCGGGGGTCCGACGCCCGACACCTTGCAAGTTGATTAACTGAACCTGTCAACTGTGGTCGAGCGGAACACCCAGCCTGGTGCACGACATTTGGCAAGTTGAACCCGCAACCCGTCAGTACCCCTGCAACAATTGTGTCCACCATTTATCTTCCCCGAAGGACCTGAGGCTCCTTCTCCGGTTGACAAATAGTAGTTGAACAGTGTCACCGAATGATTCGGGAGTTAGTGGTGTTCGACAGAGCACCTTAAGGAAGTGACAAAAAGTCGTTTGTTGTCGATGCCGATTGCCAATAGCACTGTTAGGGGGGCTTGATGCTGGTTCCTGATCTGTTTGGCAATCGAGCAGCTTGAAGAAGTGTGAAAGAGTCATTGGTTGTCTGTGTGGATTGTCATTAGCACTCTTAGGGAAACTTGATGCGAGATCTGATTCCGGGTCGTGTGTGTGTGTGTGTGTGTGTGTGTGTGTGTGTGTGTGTG